GCTTGCATTCCCAGGGGGGGCCTTCCTCTTTCTTTGGCTTCCTTTTCCTTACCCTGCTAGTAGTCCTTGGTTGTTCTCTACCCCTGGTTGTAAGCATGCTTGACACAAATCGATGTCCACTTGGACTCTCTGGGCACATGAGTGACAAGGATGCACAAGTTGCACAGTAAAAATGCCGACAGTGTAGGCACCTTTTTGATGCACGTGCTGTAGGGGGGTTCTGACAGTCGGCAGCAAAACAATGAGTTCTGTCCCTAGTAACACACTGCTGACTGTCCAGACTTCTAAACCCATCGGTGGACATCAGTCTTTGCCCAGGGAGAAGTAAGGTGCTGTCTAAGCTGAGAGGTCCCCCCTGATTTGCTGGGGGCGTTAAACTCCATTCATCACTTGAAGTTGATTGTCTCCTGTTGTCAGTATCAACACCTGAAAACCAAAAAGCCAGTAGGGCTCAGACACCATCCATGAATAAGAGGAGCAAGGGCAAGGGCGGGGCTCTTAGATTCATCCAAACATAAATTTTATATGAATAAAAGAGGGGGGGAAGCAAAAAATGCTCTTCACAAGAGGAGGGTTGAGAAACTAGGAACGTGGACTCTCTCCTTTTTTTCCTGGATCTCCTCCATTAATAGCAACCCATCCAAAAGCAAATAGAGGCGTTGCAAAAATACGACTCACATATGTGACTGTTTGAGGTAACCATCTACTTACTCATTAGGAACACATGTGGTAAAATAAAGAAATACCTTCTGAATTTGTTGTATCAGTATTTACTCCAGCACCTCCATTTCTCAGGGAAACTACATCACCTGTATGCAAAGACATGGAAGTAACAGACCTGTTGATCACCCCCTTTTCAAAATGTGTTTGTATGATTGAAAGGATTACTGAGTGCATTTTGTCTGAAGCCACATTCTCTATACAAACAGGGTTTGTGTCTCAGAGCACCTTTATGATTTTCTATGCACTAAAAGATAAATCCTGAATTTTTTCAGGTTTGCAATTTGAAATCTGTTTGTACTTTAACTTAGGCTTACTTGCTCTTGGCTTATTATCACCTATGCAATTTGTGGTTTTCTATCTCAATGAGTGTTGACAATCTCAAACTGAAAGAACTCACCCAAAGAACTGGAGGTACAAAAAACAAGTACAAAAACTCTTTACAAGATGCTGACCTAAGCACATGGAGCTTAACAAACTTGATTGGCTCTTTGGAATCAGGTGGTACATTTTGATTACAGGACCCATAATGTTACAATAGGTTAAAATTTGCTATAAGTTTGCAAGTCTCTAAGACTGGAACAAAATATTGTGAATCAGCTCATGCAATGTATATTTTTCTGCTTCAATATTCATTTTTCCTTTTTTGCTAACTTACCGCAGCATCATCTGACAAAGGAAAAACAGAAAAGTGAATGACTGAGCCAACAATAACCATAAGACACACATCAGTATGACACATTACAAGTGTAACTAACCATTGGGCCTGAGAAGTCGAAGTCTATCAATTTCATCCTGTAATTCATCAAGCAAACTTGTTTGGTTCTCTTCTGAATTTTTTGAATCTCTCAATTCTTCACTGTGGCTGCTAGGCAAAGTCTCCCCACCCACTGCTCCCTCAAGCTCAGTATCACTCTCTATTTCCTCTGCATCTGAATGGTCTGAGGTCCCACCTAGAGGGTTAAATGAAATAGCAAAGATTATGTCTTTGATCTCCTCTTTAAAGGAAAGCACAAATTGTACAGTTGTCAAAAGACTTTGTAAAAAGTCCTTTCATGTAGAATTTTCAGGTTTAAAAAAATTTGAAAGCTTTATTAGCTTTGCTGGTCAAAGACAACCTAACATGTCAGGTCCTCTGCTTTCAATCCATGGCCTTGTGGCAAAAATATTGAGATTTTAAGACTTCTAAAAAAATTAGCATTATAAAACTTCCTGTGTATTTTTAAGAAGGCTTCCAAGATTTTTTAAAATGATTATATCAACAATTTTAGCAACAGTTCCAATGCCCCAGATCAAGACCCATCCCGAGGGAATATTTTCAAAATTATCTCTATGGCAACCAGACATGTCTGTACCATCATGTGCTAGTTTACACTAACCCAACTCATTTAGACCTGACTCTGAGCTACTGTGGTCAGGACTTTCAGGTTCGAACACAGGTAACCCAGGAGCTGGACTTTCATCCCATCTTGGTTGCGTCAAACGTGTGTGAACAATTTCCTCCAATCCTTGCAATAGGCTGTGAAACAGGGGGTTTTCACCATTTTCCTGAAGATCTTCTGTCTGTGTCTCAGCATCATACATTTCTTTTTTCCCTGACAGTTCATGTTTGTTCAGCCCAGCCAGAGGCTCCTCTGTGCAAAACAAGTTATGAATATGTTGTTGACAAGCATCATGAGGTCAAAATGGATGAATACTGAAAGGTTTTTTTCGTATGTTATTGCTGACTGGGATGAAGTTGAGGTCCATAAAAATGCAAAAAGTGACCAGTTCCCTGCAAGCAGGCTTAGAGAACAGATCAAGGTAGTGAATATATTGAGCATGTGAGAGGGCTGGCATGAAAAATGATGACTTTCATTTTCATGTGAGAGCTCTTGCTTGCTGGTTAAAAGCTCCAGCACATTAGTGCTCATGTTGCAGTGATAAAAGAGGACCTGCTTTCCAGATGAGATGCCATTAATTATTAGTCATCTTGTCTTTTTAAAGTGGGTTGCATTTAAATGCAAAAAGAGAGGCCAGTGACTTCTGCTCCAACTGAATTATTTTTTGTTCATAATTCAAACCGCAGACAGCTCTTGTCATAATGGAGGGTTTCACAACTCTTCTACAATGACATATGCCACAATTCATTCTATACTTTCCAGATCTATACCGTCCAATAGTTCCCAAATTATAGAATTCCTGATGACCCATAACAAACCTTTCTGGCCTGGCTTTAGGACTCTGATTTCCCCAATCTGTGTCTCCAGAATGCAAGTGATATCATACTCAAAGTAATAAGTTAGATTGCTTGTTTCCTTGGGCTCCAATACAACCTTTTCCATCAGATCACAAACTTCATCAACAAGTCCATAGATACGGCGCTTCTCATCCACTAAAGCACTGTCATTATTCTGACATTTCTGGATCAGAGAATATGCTGTTTCACACTTATTCACAATTTCGGTCATCATGCTGAATGATAAAAGAACATAACAATAGTTGATGTATTAAACAAGCTTCTAGATCACCATGGTTGATTCAGAGGTCAATCTGACGAATAAATTGTAAGATTTTTCCAAGCAGAAAATGCAATTTCTCTACACAATTAAAGCAACAAAAATAGAGAAAATCAAAATTTCTTAAATCAAATGCCAACACTCTAAACAAACAACACACATGCAACCCACATTTCCTCTGTTCACTATGATGAAGGGCTAACGCTTGAAATGTCACTTTTCAAATTCTTTATGGTGGTCAATTTATGTCATCAACTCAGTTGATAATACTATATTACCCTGTTATACAAACAATATCCTCCCCCTTAGTGGCTGAAACTCAAAATCCTCAGTGGGAGAGAAGCTATTTTGCTGCATATACAAAATTAACCCCTTAAACTCCCAAGATCTGATTTTTAATTCTCCCTTCTAGTTGCTACACATTTCCTTGTAAATTAGGGAAGAGAATTTGGTGTTAGATCAAGATAAAAACTTCTACCTGATGTGAATTCTCCTCACCTGTTGGCTGGATAATGTTTGGCTTGGATATTAAAGGGAGAAGTGACAGAGACTTCAGGGACTTAAAGGGTTAAAGAATATCAAAACTTATTTCCCAATAATTACCTCTCTTGTTCATCCAAAGGTTTGATCTTCTGTTTCGTCCTGTCATCAACGTCACACTTCAGCACAGTTTCTCGTCGACTCATGCAAGCTCGCAGCACTCCCATATGTTTCATAATCCTGTCTCGCAAATACAGCTGAGTGTTCAGTATGGACTCCCTTGCATCAATCACGTTTCTTCTAGCTTTCTTCACTGTATCATAATGATCACCCAATTTCTTGGACAAGCTGCGAAGCTCTTCACGAGTTGTTGTAGCAATGCTGGTGGCAAGTTCACATTTGTGTCCCATGTGCTTGCCATACACCTAAGTAGAACAAGCACTGGCATAAACAATCTGATTAGCACCCCCCCCCTTTATTACACCCTCCTCCCCCCCCATCTATTACAACCACACTAAAACTCTCCAATAAACCCCTTTCCTCCCTTCTCCTTGATCAAAAACTAAATCATTTGTTATGACTATCCTAGACAATCAGACATACCCTAAACTACATCTCAGGTTTAGAACATGTTCAAAACTCTCTCAAACTCCTTAGTGTTTAGAAAAGGCCATGCAAACACTGAGAATCCCTCAGAGCCTTGATTTGTAAATAAATTACTCCCAAAAATATGCATATGTATATGACAAAACATGCAGCTAAACTGATAGTGATTTGCATTTGTTACATCATACCATACAGATCCTCATGTAGAAATAACACTATACCTACAGACAACAATTCATCAGCATCCATAAAAAGACAAGTATATGATTTGGCTTGCAAGTTATAAAAATGCGTTATTGACCAAGCGTGAGGTGAGGCTGAAAATTGGCCAAATTCTTTTTAGCATTTTTTCTACAACATTTGGCAAATCCATTCCCAACATTGTCCAAAATATTAGAAGTTTTGTATTGAGTCTACTCCAAGCAGTTTTTGTTCTTGCACATGATTAAAGTGGACAATCCTGCTCAGGTGGCCAATCAGAACACATAAATTACTTCATATTACCCACAGGTGCTGCCAGCAAGATAATGACAAGAATTATCAAGGCCATGGTTTGAGTTATCCACCTTAGCCTTTAGCTCAAGCAGATGACACAAACCAATGTTGCGTAAATCCTTCTTATTATTTCCTCATCCACTAACTCCTATTGCTAATTATTCATACCTGGCAGTAAATGCAGATAAGACAATTATCAGTATGACAGTAAACCTTCAGAGCTTCGTCGTGTTCTGGACAGAGATATTTATTATTCTCCTTCTCCTTTGATATTCCATCAGTTTGAGCTTCTTCTTTCCCTTCAAGAATCTCAAGCACTCCAAAGTTTTTAGGTAGATTTCTCACAGACTCAAAAGTCCTTGGAAACAAAGTGGTCTCGATTTTACATGTTGGACAACAGATTGTACCAGGATTTCGGGCTTGAAAAGCTAACTTGTTCAAACATCCTTTGAAGGCAAGAGGAGAGAAAACATTTAGCAACTGTTAGCTTGAACACTCAATGTCAAATTTGACATTAAGTGTATCTCTTGCATCTATTGCGTGAGTATTTCTAAGTATAAGTACTAAAATGTATTAACCCTCTAACGTCCAAGATCTGATTTTTAATTCTCCCCTCTAGTCATTACAAGTTTCCCTGTAATGAGAATTTAGTGTTAGATCAAGATAACAACTTCTACCTGATAAATTTAAGTATTCTCATTACAAAAGAATGCTTGGATTTTATATGGAGAGTTTACATGTCAATCACGGCTGGAAGTTAGAGAGATTTCCCTCATAACTAAAGAAGAACATTTGAATGAGGTCTGGTTGGCTTAGAGTTGCTTTGTGCATGTGATGTTCTTCTTTAGGACATACGTCCTTACTTCAACATTTTATGCTGATGCAAAAACATTTTTCATTAGTTTTAATTGTTAATACACATGTGTAGAGATATTCACAATGGACAGTGAAGATGTAGACCATATTTTCTTCAAAACGATTTGTAAATATTTTGTTTCACGATTAAACGTCGCTTTCTTAAATTAATCAGTTTTTGTTCCTTATTAATATTCATATTCTTGATTATCTGGACTATTTCGTCTGGTCCCAACGAATCCGGATAATTGAGGTTCAACTGTAATAAAATATTCCAACAGGAATCAACACTCTTGTAAAATAAACAAAGGAACTCAAAGAATCACACAAGCCCCTTTTCTTTCTCTACTGAGGCCTATTGTGCGTCCTCTACTCAGGGGGAGGGGGGGAAAGGGGTTTCGAGTAAATTTCTCGAAACGAAAAAATTACGTCGAGAAAAGTTCGCTTAAGCAGGCGCAAGCGAAAGCAAACTCGTCTAGAATGATGAACAAACTTCGATTCGAGCGGTTATAAATAAAACGTGGATTTTCAATGATTTGTTGAGGGTAGAATGTTTTACAAATTCCAGACAAGCCTGCATAATTTGAACGGTATCAAATGAAATCAATCATTCCATAAGTAACCATCGGTTTCAGATCGCTATAGCTACAGTATGCTCATAAAATTTCTCTGGTACAACATGGAGCTATCTTTACGAAATCTTTTTTTTTTTCTAAAAGAGGTTATAAAATAGTAATATACCTGTACAGTATGTGTGTCCGCAGATTAGATTTCTGGGAACGAACTGCACTTCATCTGACTTGAAGTCGTTGTAACACACAGAGCAACTCAGTCCCCTCAATTCAGCCATGGAAATTTCAACAAAAACCGGTGTAAATGGTAAAAGCCGAGGTTTAACGCCGGTGATTACACAATACTAGCATTCCCAACAAAGCAAAGGCTTAAAACGACAGAAAACACACACAGAAGCGCATTCTGTTGTGACATTTCTCAGAAACAATGTGTAGCAGGAATTGATGTTTGGGTTGACATGCGCCCATGAGCTGTTGGTCAGTGGTGATACGAGGAAACAATATGGCGGATTGATCCGATCAGACAGCATGCAATTAGACGAGGAAGATATCGAAAATCAAAAGCCTCAGAAACCTTGTAGCGGCCTTAGAAAGGAACTGAAGGATTGCATTTTAGCAAGTGATTGTGTAAAAAAGGTAAAATTTGCCATAAATGTATTATATTGTGGCAAACTTTATGCTCGTCCTGGTTGATTTTAAGTAGCTTAAGCCTACATTCGAACGATTACATAGGTCAGGGTCGGCCAGGGGGGGTAGTGGAATACCAATATACCCGAAAAAAAATCGACAAAATACCCCAAAATACCCCAAATTCCTCCAAATATACCCAAAAATAATCGAAGCTTTGAATACTTTATACCTGAAATTCAAAGAAAGTGATATACTGAATACCCATATTTAAGCTGCAATATACCGTATACCCGATTTAAAACGCCCCTGAATACCGAATACACAAAAACCCTGGCCGACCCTGATAGGTTCAGAAGTTGAGTTAATAGAGACTACCGTGTTAGAGTACAATCATAACATCCAAAATATATTTCTACTCGTTTCTGTCTTTCATGAATGTTACTAACCCTCAATAACATTTCATGCTTTGAGGGTGAACGATATTTACATAACTCTACCTCTCCTCTCTGTGGCATGTTCAGTAGTTCGGATCATAAAGCTGGACGTAACCAAAGAGGAATTGCTGAATATTCAGAACTGAATGAGTAGATTACTCTTGAAACTAGGATGGGACAAAAGGAGATTGATATATTGGAGCCCCTCTCGTAATTGATTAATTGATTAGGTGTTAATTGATCGATTCACACGACTGACTGACTGACCACAATGACTGACTGAAAACAGAATTACTGACTGAATGACTGACCGAATACAGACTGACTGACTGACCGACTGCTTTACTAACTGAAAACAGAATGACTGACTTACTGAATACAGAATGACTGATTGATGGACTGTCTGAATGAGTGGTTGATTAATTCTCTCCTTTCATTCATGTGTTCCTTCATTCATTTGTTTTGTTGTTATTTTTTTTGGTAGTTTGGATCCAAACCCAATGACTGTTTGAACCCTGATGCTCAAGGTATTAATGAGAACTGTAGAAGGGTCCAGTATGCATTCTTTGAGTGCAAGAGGTCACTGGTAAGGATGTTATTTTGGAACCTTTTTCAACTGTTTTTCCTTAACAACTCAGTCTCCTCTTGTTGAAAGGAGATTACATATCAGCTGTCAGTGTCTGTTCTGGCAAAGATCACTGATTACATTTATATATGGTAAATGGTAAAACAACCTGGTATTACTCTTTGGTATAATAGGTTGTTCGAGGAGGACTCTCTACTGGAGAATTGTGTCAAATTCCCAGGTCTTGTACCAGACTCCCTCTCCTGAATGGAACACAATTTAACACTGTTACCATTACTGTCTGAAAGCTGATCCTTTTAACTGTTGACTAGAAATATATTTGCTTTTTTAGTACTTGAAGCTTGTTAACAACAATATTCCCTCTACAGAGGTGTAGCAATTATTTTTCTAGGGGTTGAGTACCTACCTTACCGACAAATCAACATCTACCGGTAAACTGTGTTTTTAATCACAAAATGTAAAATTTTGCATCACCGTTTTTCTTCTGTTTTGTGCTTTTCTGCCACCCAAATCATAAAGTTTGATTGTTTCAGAGTTTTTTTGAAAATAACCTTTTAATGGAGTTTCATGGCCAACCCAGCTCCCCCTTTCCACCCTTGGTGTGCCCCCCCCCTGCAGTAGGATAATTTTCTGAGGTCTCATTACCTATCTGCCTGTCATTGTATTAACCCTTTAACTCTCATGAATGACCAAGACAGAATTTCTCCTTACAATATCAATACAATATTAACCAGATAAGTGATGAGAATAAAGAAAAATATCAATTTGGGAATAATTAGTTGATCCAATACTAACCTCTCTGAACTAACATTATAAGAATTGTAAGGTTGACAGCAAGGAGAATTACAAATTTGATCTGGGAGTTAAAGGGTTAAAAGGGTTTAAGAGAATGCATCAAAGGATCAGTTTTTGGAGGGAAAGGGAAAGATGTGGTTGGACTGACAAACTTCTCATTTTTTATTTGTTGACAGTTAGATTTTCGCACCCGTTTCAGGGGAAGAAAAGGATACTGATGAAGGAACACAGGAATGTTGTTTTTAGTGGATTGGACAATCAATAAATGTTACCTCACAGAGAATGTAAATACTCAAAGAATCGTGATTGAAACATCTTGAAATGTGTTTTTTTCCCCAAAGCTATAGATTTTTTGAGGGAAAAATGCTGAAAAAATGAGCAGTTATTTTCGTAATAAAAAAGTCTTCTTTTGAAAATAAAGACGAGCATATAGTATCACCAATGAATAAATGGGTAAGTTACCAAAAGAATCTGTGTTGCTACGTTGATGGGGGAGTCTAGCAGGGTAATTTGGTTTTATCAACTGTGCTGATGATGTAAATTGGCCACCGTAAAGAGTTTCCAACCTGACGTTTCGAGCGTTAGCCGTTCGTCGAGCGAATCACAATACATTATAAACTTAGTTTATAAAACCAAATTATATATAGTATCAACAGTTGATATCCTGTATATGTTCTTGTTTCGCCGATATTGCATAAGCTGGTACCAGGCTCTCTTGGTTAGAGGAGACGAACGAAATAACAAGCGAATGGAACTTAATATTTGTCTGGTGAAACGGCAGCAGATTTTCTTTCTCTTTGTTTTTTATACCTCCAAAACTTCCGCCGTTTTGTGCCCACGTGCTGTCTCGCTCGTCTCTACTGACCGATGCCCTGCCAATGGCTGATATTCCGAGGATTTATTCTGTTCATGCCAGAATTCAGGAACGATAAACTTTATCGATAGTTACTGCTGGAAAACTCTGAAAAAAAAATCATAGAGCCTTAGGTCAGTTAGACGAAAATGATTCGTCATTTCTCAGCGTAAGATGTTTCGCGCGTTTACAGAAATCGGCTAAAGAACAAATGTTGTGACGCTCGCGTTCCAAAGTTAACACGGCAGTCCACAGCACCGAAATGAATACGATGAGAAAGGTGGTACATTTTTTAGCTCGATAATGAACTAAAGAAAGGCGTTATTCTTCTCATCCCGTACACCTGACATACAAAATTCTAAGTCTCTCTCGAAGAAACGAGTCTCAGACCTTAGGTTTTGGCCCTTCGATGCTTTGCTAATGATTCGTTACTCTTGGGTTCAAACCATTTCTTGTTAATATTCCAATTAGTACGCCGTAAGATCTAATTTTTGATTAGCTAATCCAAGCACTTCAGATTCTTCTTCTGTTGAAATGTAGGTTACCAACATTCTCTCCGACTCTCTCGGCGTAATTCCGACATGAAACTGGATACTAATCAGTGGAAAACATCTCGGTGCAGTAAAGAAAGATGTTGTTCGCATCTCCTCTTTCTCCCGCCCTCGTAACAACACGAACGACATTTCCCTTTGTTTCATTACCGAGCTCAAAAATTTGTCATCTTTCTTTTGCTAGTTACCCACACGACGCTTTCAATGTTTCAGATCCTAGCAATATACAGGTCGCGTCTTACACAATAACTCAGTAATGACCTAGCTCTTCACGAGAGTTCGCCGTAACTCATCGTACAGTCTGATTTCCCGGTTGTGATCGGTGCTGGAAAAGACTGTTGTCTGTAAAAGTGACTGACGTTTCAGCAGCCTAAGCAGAAGTTATCATTAGGGTCAAGTGAGGAGTTCTTTGTTAGTAGAGCACAACTCAGGTTTGGTCAGTCAATGCAGCTGATATCAACCCTTTCGAGGACTTTTCTCTTCCGCGGACGACCAGACTACTCAATCAACATTTAGTAGTTTTTAGCAAGTTTTAAAAAGCATGCTGAAAGAAGAATAATTTAAAGTAAATCCTTCAGGAGTGGAACCAAATAAAAAGTGAACGGCCGAGTCAGTAGAGCGATTTTTTTTTTTTAAACGCTTTCCTAGCGCTTGGCCTTTCCATATTCTCTTTATTTGCCTGTCGTAATTCATGAGTATTCCCACCCTCCAAAAGGTATGATTATTCTTTTTTGGAAACTGAATCTAGAAAGGAAAAACCCAATATTTATTTGTCTTAAGTTTTTTTTTTCTTCCTCTTTGCGCTAAAATACTAACTCGTCCGAAGGTCATGTGCCATTTTTGTCCAAGTTTAAAGCTCATTTGATAATTACTGAATTTTCGCCCGTTCGAAGCGCCTTTTGTGTTCGTTGTTTGAGGAAGATTCAGTTTCATTTGTAGAGCAATTCAAGGACGCGCTTTGTGGGCAGTTGTGGGTTGAAAATTCATGCCTTTCATATCTGTCCACACTTCTGTAATATTTGCAGGACTCTCGCTTGTAAACTTTTACGGAGAGATGTTTCCAAATCTGTCAGGTTTTCTGCCTTGATACATCAGAAAATAGAATCGTCCCTTTGAAGAAGCTTTAGAACGACGCAGAAAAACTCAGGCTTCTTGTGAAGTACCGCAAGAGTGAATTTATGAGTATTTTCAAAGAAAGTCATTTTCAAAACAGCAGTGGCGAGAAATAGGAGACTTTACATCATGCTACCATATGCATTTTAACGAATTCACCTCGATAACCATATTTTTACACCTTGAATCGAAACAAATTTTAATTTGGTTCTGTCGTCCATTCAGAGAAATAATAAAAAGTTAGCCTTGAGTCGCAAGGTATAAAAAAATGCCACAGATGTATTAAATATATTGTTATTCCTCTTTTGTTCCTATCAAACAATTAACGAAGCAGGTATCTTTTTTTTTTTCAAAGCTCAAGCTGGTTTTGTGAAAAGGTCATTTCTCTCGACCAATTGTAATTCAAATGCAATTTTACGTGACAAAATTGGCCAAAATTGACCAATGCGTATTTCACACATGGCAAAGTTAATATTAAGATATTTTCTGTGTTAAAAAAAATTGTGAAAGCGACTGACCAGAAAGTCCGTCGTTCAGTCTCCTTGTTTTAATAAATTTCGAGCCTCGTACGTGATGAAAAAAAAGTTGTGAAGTGTTTACGAAGGTTAGAAAAGCACACTTCTTGGTCTTACATCCTTCAACATTGTTCAAAATCTTCGACAAGCTGCCAATTCGTTTTCACAGCAGATGTTCCTGACAGTCAAAATCTAGCTTTTTACTGCGGCTAAAAGATGTGTGTGAAGTCAGTGTTTTGTAACGTTTGCCCTAGTGACACTAAGGAAGCCATTCTTGAGTAAATTTCCCTCGAACTGCAGAAGAAATTCATGGTCAGCAAAGACATACACACAAGCGTACTTTCTGTGGGACTATTTTCTCTCACAAGACAAAAAGGGAGATCAATTGATGTCTCAGGCTTATAATTTAATTCATTTTCTGAGTATAATTTTACTTTTATTAAGGTTGACTTGTTGGCAACAACTTGCTTTTTTTTTTTGAAGAATCGTTTTCCCTTAGGAATGAATTGAGCTGAAATGAAATACGGCCATGGCAGGTTAGGAAAAATAAAGCTTCGATTCGCGTATAGAAAATCGAGGAAATGAGATGCGAAGTTTTTTAGGGCAGGAAGCTTCAAAGATGATAGCTGGATCTTGAAATGCTTGTCCTAAATGGCTTTGCCTAGTTCGTGTCTACAGCCCTTCGGCACAATAGGAAGGCGGGAGCTAAATTACTACTTTGATTAGAAATTTTGTGATTTCGACAAGCGCCGTCGTAATGTCAAATAGAGCAGTTGGTCGAGGTATGATTATGGCGAAGTCTTTCCTACTAATGGATATTAAATAACTAAGTATGGAATTAAAATTAGTGTAAACACATGATATTCCGACAGAGTTTAAAAACGTTTCACCGCCGTCATTTGCACTTCTTCCACTCGATTCTTCGGCTTCAGAAAAAATTTGAAAAGTTTTCGTTTTCTCGAATATGCAAAACAATGAACGTTTAAAACTGAAGAAAAGGAAGGAGAATAAAAAAATTTGATGCGTACAGTGCGACCGCTTCTGAGTCTAAAAGCAAACACTCTTGCACGTGTGTTCGTAGAAGAAGTTCTGCCGGCCATAAGCGGTATTTTTAATACATAAGATTTATTTTAAATTTTGTACTTCTACGCACGAATACAATAACAAAACAGCGAAATAAAACGTTTCTTCTTCCAAAAATCGTGCTACTTTTAAATGAAATTTGTCGATCTGTCATCCCTATCAAAATCTTGTTTGTCCGCGACCTAAGCGTATTTATCAAGCGGACGTGTTTTAAAAAAAATTGGGGCGGTGAAAAAACAAATGTTTTGATTATGAAAAAATGGTAATTTATGATAATTTCCCTCGACTTATTAGCTATTGAGGCAATTTTACCCAAGAAACAGTTGTTTTGACAGATAAATGAGGGGTTTAAGGCTTCATTCGTATTTAAAAGCTATTGACAGGAAATTGACCAATGGCGTGCCGATAAATTATTGTATCTTATAGTAAGCAGAAAAGGTGTGCAATAAGAGCATTGCTTTTCTCCTTCCTCCCACTAGAGGGAAGAAAAAATTATCGCTCCAAGTTATAAGACACTCTGATGTAAAGTCAACAGCTGTTAACTTCCTACAAGCATTTAATTTCGGTGTCGATCGGTCAAGGAACAATTTCAACCAGTACTTGCTTTTTGAGAGTATCTGGCAGGATACCTTAGCTTTCTACTTTGGAAAGCCGTGATTCCTGGCCTGGGTGTTCGACAAGCAAATGAGCATACTGCCTAATGTTTATTTGATCACTAAACACAAATAATTCAAGAGTTTAATTCTTGGGTACCGTTGCGTTTTCAAGTGAAGGAGATGAACAGTTTAGTAGAGGAAAGCGTGGCGACGCCAACCTCGTTGTTGAATTTTGTCAGCAATGCAACAAGCACGCTGAAATTCGCTTTGGATAAACCGATAAAGCCGAAGAGGAAGGTTAACCACCGAAAATATCTTCAACGCCAGCTCAACGGAAGGTCATCTTCGGCAACAACGTCATCATTCGACGGTTCTTGGGTAAGTCAAGGAGAGATGCTATTTGATCACGTTTTAAAAAGTGGGCAACGAGGAAGCCCTAGCGCTGTCGTTCGAGCTGAGAAATCAACAGCAATTTCCCGGGAAAACCATTCGGAGAAAATTCAATCTTTAGGAGAGAGGAAACGTGCTCAAGGAAAAGAAGAAAAGAGTTGGAGAATTTCAAGAAGCCAGCAAATAAACGATTGTAAGTCTTCTGAAGCACCTTCCTCTCAGCCTTCACAGCCGCTGAGAAAGCGAAAACTTCCCGAGTCTTTCTGGACCGAGCCGTCACCTAAAGCTTCGCGTAAACCTCTGCAAGCAACTCGGCAGTCTAACACAAATTTGGCGACAAATGAATTACAACGCTCAGAGCTTGAAATATTGGATTGGCTTCGTCCTGAACTAGACGACTTTATCGAACGTTGGTCAGAGGAGAGCGAATGCGCGTCGAATAACTCGAGTCGACCTGACAGTTTATCAGATAGTCCATCCACTCTCGATCCTCATTCGCCATATTCCGACGAATCGGAAAATGTCGGATCAATGGACGAATTTTTTGAGCAACGAGTGCCTTTTTCCTTCGATTCTTCAACGAAAAATGGCGAATATACAACTAACATCCCTTCGATAAGGAACTTATCGAACACTAACTTGAATTTTGCGGATAACCGAACATACAGTGTGCCGCAAAATTATGTTCAGAGGCAAATGAGCCATTCTGTTTCCTGTTACGGTGGACACTACGGCTTTTCTGCAAATAAATGGAACGCAAATCCAGTTCAGCCGAACTATTTCGAAACTGGATACAATATTTTATCTTGAAGGATAGTTGCGCGGCGCAAACGAGAAACCAATTTAATTTCAATAAAACGTAGACAATTTCTCCGGTCCGGCGGCACTTTAAATCTCTTTTACTAATTTATAAGTTATTACGAAAGACAGCAGGTAATATAAAAGTTGCCCAAAGGTTTCAAACGTAGCTTTTTGGTTGTCAAATTCTGACTGTTTGCATCACAGAAAGCTTGTCAACTGTCAAATCATTGACGCCTCGAAACTTCTGTATTTACGAATTACATGTAAAACAGTCTAACTTAGATTTTTTTTAAGATGAGCTATCAAATGCTCCACTGACTTAAAAGATTGAAATTTTAGCCGGTTAGATACGGTGAAAAAAAAGATACTTTGTTGGAGTAAAAATTTACATCGATGACCGGGCTAAACACACGCATTATACGAACACTTTGAAAGTTATACACATTAACACTTGTTATATTTCTGTCCTTCCCCCAAAGGTACATATAAAACTGTTTTACTTTTAACATAGAAAAATAAACTTATCTTAAACAACGCGTTGTATTTCATTTCTTAAAAATTAGTCCTTTTGCGCAACCAAGGCAAAATGAGTTAACAATGGATAGCATTGTGCGCGCTCTGGTTAATATCTTGTTATCCAAATAATAGTGAATTCGCGCAAATTTTGAAGGCGCAGTTTCGATGTCGCATATGAACAGCTGTCAGAATATACAGACTTGACTTATCATATGGCTGGGTCAATTTGTCTGATTCTCTGTTCTGGCTGTAATCATTTTTCACAGAATATATCATTTCGCCATTTCCCTACCACGGTGTAATCAAGAGAATTGCTTTCTGGCACGCATTTGGCGAAAAACAGCAATTTTCTTTATTTTAAGGAGAAAAAGGCTTTAGATTTATTTCTCATATTAAGAATGATGTTTTCTTAACCTTGCAGTTGAAAAGGAGATAAAGAACAAAGGAAGACGAAACAACAATTCGTGGTAACTAACACGCGGTTTGGATAAAAGTCTTTCTCATTAATTTTTCATAAGATGGTTCTATCAATGAGCTGGTTTTTTTTTTTTAGGGATAGTCTTTGTTTTGCTGCTGATGAATCTCCGTTTTTTTTTTTTTTTAACAAGAAATAGAACGTTTCTTCTGCATGCAGTTCTCGCATAACTTGATATGATTAAGGAAAAAATAGCAATATACCATATTTCATATTTTTCCCTTTTCGTGAAAATGCCTTGCAAACAAAAAATCAGATTTTACCATCCCTTAAAATTAATAAGAAAATTAAAAAGATGTTATCTTTAATTTGTGATTCTTCTTTCTGTCTCGCTCTGAGTAGATCACATAAAATTTAATTGGGGCATAGTTATTAAAATACCCAAAAACAGCGTCAGAACTGCTTGGAAATAGACCCAACTGTCAAAACGTTTTTATTATTTTGGAGAATGAGAAGTTGTTTAACTAAATAAATAACGCATGCAGTGCTTTCTGCTATTTTTTTTGTTTTTTTCAAATAACAAATATCCTAGAGACATACTTTTTAATCAGCGCACAAACCAGCCTTGGGCAACTTGATAAAAAGATTGTCTTGATAGAAACGAACGCAGTCAACATGTCGCGTATCTAGGAAAGAATTTTTCGACTGATATTTTCATAAAAGGTTTAAGAGCAGTGACAAAAGGTTCAAAATACAAGTTACCATTTCCATTTTTATAAAACCTTTTAGGGACGGCTGATGCTGTCAGTTTTAAGCTGAGCAAATTGTATGTTTTCCGTCCACACCTTGGCTCATGGGGATAAAATTCAGCAGGTGTGCAGAATTGTA